GTTCTTTCATTTAATGTTAATGATCTATTACTACTGTATACGGTAAACTTACCTGGACATGCAGTCACTAGTGTCGGCAGTAGTAAACTACTGCCGAAATACATCGAGCCATTTCGAGTGTTTCATCGCAAGGGCAATGCATACACGATAGAATTGTCACGTAGGATGCGCACGCATCCTACGTTTTACGTGGGGCAACTCAGGCCGTACTGTCAGTACGAGCCTTCTTCTTATGATGAAGATATCCCCACGTTCAAGAATATCCATCAAGTTCTTGCGTTCGCGCTCCAGACGGTCCATCTGGTCGCGCAGATGAGATACCTAGGAGCTCAACCGAGTTATCTCCCCCGCGAGCTGTCGCCAGCTCGCCGAATAGGGAGCGGACGTCGCGCTCAACCTGCAGCTGCACTGTGGCGTAATCGGCGAGGTCTCTCGCCCGATCAACCTCGCGATCCTTGCGGTTCTTCCGCACGGTATCAGTCAAAGCGTAGCGCCGGTCGCGGTCGTGCTTCAAGTCATCGCGCAATTCATCGATTGCGCGATCCATCTCGTAAGGGTCGAGATGGTGAGCAGAATCATCTGGAGGAGGTCTTTCCTCCTCCACCACATCCTTTGGTGGATGCTCACGGTGATCAACGCTTCCTAGTGGAGCGTATCTTAAACCACCGTGACGATTCAGGATCAAGGACGAGCCACCTCGTCCAGTGGCGGGGGTATCCACCCTCTTGGAACAGCTGGGAGCCCCGCTCTCAGCTGTTGATGGACGTTGAAGGTCTCGTCCGTCAGTATGACGAGACTCATCATATTGGTCCGAGGGACCATCGGTAAACACGCGCCCTAGGAGCTTGTAGACGGATTGCAAGTTTGCAATCGCGTCTCGCATCTCAGCCGAGATGTGTGCCCTTCCCTAGGGCGAATCGAGGGAATACACATCCCTCTGCGCTTGTTGCGAGTTGTCAGCACAACTCGCACACGGGTCTCCCCAAGTGAGGCATGGAATGCCGGCCTCACTTGACAAACGATGCAACCGGTACCTGGCACCGGTTGGCGTTCGCTTTTCGAACCTGAGGCGTACCGCCTCAAGTTTCTTAATCCACCCTTCTCGTCCAAACTTTACGTTTTGGACGAACGCGTTCCACGCAGCCAAAAGCGAGGCTTTGTCACGCTTTTGGTTGCTGTTGTACCATAGATGTCTAAGAAAGACATCGAGATAAAATTCTTCTTCAGCGCGAAAGTTGCTCGCGGTGGAATTCAAGCCGTGAAGCTCACTTGCATCGAATAAAGGTATTCGATGGTGTTGGTTTGTCTCGTGATACAAGCCATTGATGAGCCGTTCAGGCAAACGCCACGGCTTCAGCTCATCACGCTTCACAGTGGTACCTTTGTTGGTACCGCGGTTGTCAGTACGACGATGGGTTGCACCATCGTCAAGTCGCTCGTGCGAAGGAGCACGAGCTGATTGCGGTGATGAGCAAACATACTCATCACCAGATTTGTCATCACTGCCGAATAGACTGTGTTGCAACTTACGAGTCCGTTCGTTCGGTAGTGGCCTTGGCGAACACTGAGGTGTCGCCGGTGATCGAGACGTCTCTTCAGAATTGCCCGGGTCAGACACGTCTGACTCGCCATAGTAGATGACCTCAATGTCGGGGTCATCATGCGCACGCGGTGCTGTACCGCGTGCGCCTGCAGCACCTCTTGCTGCAGGCGAAGAACGAGCAGCAGACGACGAATCGTCTGCCGCAGAAGCTGGAACAGGCACAGACTCTGTGTGCCTTGAGTCATCCCGCATAGACATGTTAACTATGCGAGGTCAGGTTGAGCTACGAAAGTAACTAACCCAACAAGTGCTCCCTGTCCCAATGGTGCCCAACGGGTGGCCGCCATATTTTCGATAGTCACACAGTGACTATCAGTTAAGGGGGGGTGATGTAACGGGGCAGCCCGTTACATGGAATTGTCACTTTAAAGAATGTGACAATAAAGAATATTAAGTCGAATATTCTTTGAACAATATCACCGATAGTGGTGATATTGGTGAGGCGACCAAAGGGTCTGCTCATTGGTTGATATCTTGATGATATCAACCCACCAATCGCCGCAGGACGCGCGCAATGTGTGGTGACGAGACGTCACCATACACTCAGTTATATTAACAAAATTAAGTCAGGTTAAACAGAGAGACAGTAACAAAAAGACTTAATTATATTAATACAACAGTTCTACTTTTCCCTTATCTACGCTTCCTCGTTTGCCTCGTGTACGCTTGTCGGGACACGATACCCTTGCGTTAAGTTCACGCAAGTATGTGCCCCGTTACAAACACGGCGTCGATGAAGCCACACGAGTAAAACATACGTTCAAATCCGCTGCTACAAGCTGCTTAGTTATCCAGTCCCTTTTTTCCAAGTTCAAACATGACTAGCATCTGATACTTACCCCGTCTCATATAGAAGGAACCGTATCAGTTTCGATAAATGAATATGCTACTTGCGAGTTCAAATATCGAGATCTCAAGGTACATTACCACACTCATTGTGGTAATTTATGTAGTGGAGAGGAATTCACAGAATTGCTGATGTGATCCCGCCTCTCCACTGGCATCCAGAAGACCGACTATAAAAGGGTGTATTTCGTTTCCGTGCTTGATTACTTCCTCGCCTTGTGTGCCCGTCGGTAGGGCGGGCTGCACTCTTCTCAGTGGACTCTTGTTGATGCCAAGCTTGACCGTATTTGTTACTGGGGGTGGTCGCGTGGAAATCTTTACACGATCACATGTCACTTATATGTACTCGATTTGAGCTACCTGGATCTCGATGATATCGCCTTGTACAATGTTTAGATCTTGATCTTATTTAATTTTATGACCACTTGATCCGTCTAGCGATGGTAATCACCCTTGCTTTCTTGCTGGGTACGATCGCAGTTGTCTTGATGTTTGTGAGAGTCCTGAACGCACCTGGCCAAACAATCCAGGTTTTACACTGGCATAGACGAACGGTGTCACTCTTTATTGCGTAGGGAGGTCAAATAGATAGCCCAGAAGAGATGAAGCGTGTCTTTTAAAGCAAATTGATCTCTGTTTAATGTTAGCCAACCAATTGAGAAATCTACGACCTAGCCTATCTATGCAGAAGGCACTCGCAACGCGTCATCCAATGAATCAACCTGTCTCTTGAACATCGTAGGCTCCTTGATTTATCCCATACCCCTGGCTTATGTCAGAATCTGATCTTGGATCGGATCTCCTCTCAGATTGTATATCTTCTTCGATCGAAACCCGATTGGATCCAGTCCCTCTTAAACGGATCCACCCTATTGAATCTCTCTTCGATCCGGCCTTCTCTTGGATCGAATCCACTCTTAGATAGGATTTTCTCTCAGATCGGTCCCACTCTCAGATCAGATCCGATTGTCGTGATCCACCCATCCAGACTTCATACCCAGTTCGGGCACCCGGGTAGCCCTTCTTCAGCACATTCTTCCACTATTCTTCTATCCACTTCTCCACACAGCGCTTTTTCGCTTCCTTTAGCGCTCATTTGTACGCGACGTCCGGTAGCACACAGCCTTGTATACATAAATGATCAGGGATTATTAGCAAACTGGTAATACGTGTGCCCCATCTTAAGATGAGGTTCAAGTAATTTTGACTTGCTCAGACTTGTATCCAAATAAAGATCATTGGTCTCCCGATAGTATAACACCTTCTCCGCACCTCTTGCGAGCATCATCCTCAGATCTCATCGTCAGAGGTCAATGAAGAACTTTCTGGCACTCAAAACGTATTCATACGCTGCACACATAAACAAAGCAGGGCCTTGACTGGAGATCAACCAATCACAAGTCCCGTTTGCGTCAAGGAATGGTTTGGATTTTATCGCAAAGTAAGACCCTGCAACAAGAAGTAGCGCCATCTAGGGCTGTGTTATCATGCATGTCGCGCGATTGCTCCCGTTTTCCAAGCTCGATAGAGATCCACATCAACTTGAGTCGATCGAGAATAGCGCGGCCGAAGTCGTCGACGGGCACAGAAGCTATGGAAGGATTCCTATCATGAAGTATGGGTTCCCGCTCCTCTGTTCGGTGTCTGTTCTCTGATGGCGAGCTGAGATCCTTTCGAGGATGATGCGTTTTCCACTCCACTTCACTAGGGTAACACAATTGTCACGACGCCTAACAATGCACAAATCAGCCACCCACGCCCATCCGCCAAACGCCACTCACTCCAAAACGCGTTTGTCACCGATCGGGACGGTGCAGTTTACAATCGTGTGTTTCGACCGGGAGGTTGGGGTTTTGAGCCCGGAAGGTGGACAGCTCCGCCCGCCCAGGTACGGGTCCAAGGTTGCGCCACCGACTGGGCCTAAGATAGGTCGCAACCGGTAGGTGGCGTGAACCAAGTGTGCAATAAGGTACACCACCGATTTAATTACTCTGTAAGTTACTGATCGCAGGTACATGGACAGTTAAGGATCAGAAGCGAACTTCCCCCGTAGAATGAAGGCTTATAAAATGCGTTTGTGAAATGAAGAACTTGGTAGAGTTAGTTTTCTGGACCGAGTTTTCTGTATGAATGGGTGCCCTCTGAAGGTTGCTCCTTTATCTCATCGTCTATCATTACAGGGCAGGTCATTCTGAGCCACTGATACTTGTTAGTAGCCAAAGACTTTGTGCTAGCATCACGCAACAGGCTATTTACGTAAACGAAGTCTTACCTCTTTTACTAGCGGCTCAAAACGCCTGAACTGCATCAAATTCGCAAGAACTTCGACTGTATTCGCATCTAACGGTATTTGTCGTTTCAGCTGCACCGTTTACCGGGAGACTCCCGGTAAGCCCTACCGTCCATGTTACGGTACAACGCCTGCCGCCCACTTCTACAACATTTGGAACTCGGCTGAACATTTCGTGTACGACCATTTTCCCCACTCATTGTCTCGTCGGTGGTCACTGACTGTCCCGTCACTTGACGCTCAAACCTCATCGCGCCGCCAATGGACCGGAATCCAGTGGACACGGAGCGTCGTCTACGCGCCATGGAAATCGCGTTCGAGCACGAGCGAGAGCAGCACGAAGTGCTTGAGAAGAAGTACGCGCGATTGAAACGGCGCTACGTGCGACTCGAGCGGTCACACAGTCGTTTGCTCGTGAAGGCGCGGGAGGTGCGTTACCCGAAGGGTATCAATCGACATTGGTCAAGTCCTTTGCTATCACCTCAATCTCAATTTCGTGGCTTGTAGAAATGTACGACCAATACAGTCGACGGCCCACCTGTTCAGTCGGATACTGCTGGCAGTCGTAACGAGGCAATGCCGAGCTCCGAGACAGCAGCGGTATATTGTACCCTTCGTGTGTCCAGACGTCACTTGCCATGCGTGTATAAAAGAGCACGAACTAAACCGTTGATTGTCATCTGTTCAGGTTGCAGTCATTGACCTCACGAGTCCACGTCCTGGATCAAACGCTGCCACGAGATGCAACAGCACATCGCCAAGTACTGAATCCAGAGGGCTGCACAATTCGCAGGTGGATCGGTTGTCGAGCGATGGTATGTGCGGGGAAAGTCCGAGCTCGTTGCTGGAGTCTTCGACAGCACCAGCAGGTGGCCATGGTGTTGGTGCGGAACAAGAAGAGGAAAAGGTGGAGAAGACAGAGGTGGAGGACGAGAGTGTTGGCAGGGAAAACAGTCGACGCAATACGAACTCATTGTTCTCGACCCCTGCGTCTCGGAGACGTCTTCATTTGGACTTCACCCTTCCACCAGGTTTTCCAGATTCCTATCGCATGGCTTCGAATCCAGTGCGGCGGATGCAGCGGCACGAGCTGCATGGGAATCGCCTCACCAGACTGGATCGCTCTCCGCAAACAGCAAATTCCATGACAGCGGTTCGTGGAGAGCTCCGCGCACGAACCCGTCCACGACTTCGTCTCCACGACCGCTCGCCAGAACGAACTGCCACATTTGCTTACGGACACGAATTGGAACAGGAACTAGAGCCTCGGACACATCGTCATGAGCGGCCTGTTCCTCCCGTGTTGTCACCTGTGGTGTCCTCACCATCAGTGCAGACGAACCCTTCTTCATTGCCGTTGACCATTTCGTCGTCTGTATCCCGTTCGAGGGCTCAAAGCGATGAAGAGGCCTCGTTGGCTTTAGCACAGTATTTGCAACAACAGGAGGTATGTTCCCAAGACGATCGAAGTGTATGGCAACCGGGCAGCTAATTCTTGTGTGCACGTTGCGTCAGAATATTGCGGCGTATGAAGAGCACGAGGCTCGCTTACTCCGAGAATCTGCAGGTCAAGTATTCAACCAGCAATCTCATGAGCACTTGGGTTCCGTATTCTCAGGCATGTCAAACTACGAGCGCAGCATCGACCCGGACAACATGACTTACGAAGAACTCTTGCGACTCGGAGAAGAGGTCGGAGACGTGAAGCAGGAGAGATGGCGACAAATGGCTGTTCAAGTCATTTCGAGTTTACCGACCCATCAATGGGCCCAAAGCCATGGCGAAAACACGTACGTGTATCGCTTTGACCATTGCTGTCTGAGCATGGTTGTTGCTGATTAATTTGTTGCACAGCTGTATTGTTTGCCAGTATAGTTTCGTGCTGAACGATCGGGCCATGACTCTACCGTGCGCTCATGTATTCCATGAAGGTAAGTTATCCTTTGTAGACAACTCTACTGTGAGCACGACTTGACCGTTTGCGCTTGACTTGTAGATTGCGTCGATAGCTGGATCCGTGAGAACAACAGTTGTCCGCTGTGCAAACGGGAAATCTCTATCACGTAATACAACAATTTTGGGACGAAAGAACATATACGTTGCACAAACGCTAAAAGGACAATGGGAAAGCTCTAGTGCTTGAAGCGGAACCGATCAAAGGATGCAAGGGGTGCCAATGACCCACCTGTGGCGATCTTTGTAGCACGTCGTCGGCCGGGTGTGCTAACTGGAGCTGTGAAGACCACATCGACGCAACTGTCGTTCGAGGCAGCATGTGTGCAAGTATTTTCTCCTCCGTGGTCATTGTTCAACATGGCCGTCGACAGTTTGCGTGGCACCTCCGAAGTTGTGTCGACGTTGGTGTCAGAGTCGTCTGACTCGTCGTAGTTTGAAGACACGAACCGGTCAATTCGACCAGAAGCAGGAGCGTGGTGTGTGACGCGTCGTTTTCCGCTGCGGTGCCCTTGGCCATCTATCTTTCGTTTCTTCACCTCATGCTGCCGAAGCATCGAGCCAGCGCGCATCATTCGTGAAAATGCTGTTTCTTTCGCTATCGACGGAACGTTTTGCACTGCTTCGAGAAGATTCGGCGCTCGGTTCTCTTTAGAAACCTCACCAGCTCGGGAACAAAGTCGTACCCTGCTTTCGTCACTCTGCGGGTCCAAAGAATTGTCCTTTGCCACGTCAATCCTACACGTCTCCTGACTTTCATACGACGATCGGTCCATCAAATGAGGCGGACTCGTTGTCACGGATCCATTAGGTGATGACATCTTGTTCGGGTCCTTCCCGAAAAAGCGGCTAGTCAGGAGTGGACCAGCCGCCATGGTGCCAGCAGCAACAGCGATTGGCGAGCGTTGCAGACTTTTCTTTGTGGTCAACGTCGCGGCAATTGTCCGCTCATTCTTACTCGCAAACGATACCGGAAGTGTCCTTCTTACGTTGGCTGGACGCAACGGCGGAGCACTGAATGTAACAGCTGCGGCAGACCTCGAAGCATGGACGGATGGTGTGATGTCTGCTTCTGGTACGACAAGAGATGCTGCGGGCTGTCGAACCACGGAGTCACCAGAGTTCGACTGGAACGACACCTGGCTTGGAAACAGTGCCTGCGTATCGAAGCGCTTCTTAGTGATAGGATCCACATCTCCGTTGGCAACTTCTGTTGCAAGCTTGCTAGGTAACACTGGCCCGAGGAAATCCATTACCGGGTAACTTGTCAAAATATGCGGCGGAATTGGTGTAAGCGGCACCAGTTCCTATCGGACATGCAAACGATGGATTCCGAACGAGTTAGAACCTTCACAGTCTCTCGTCAACCACATAAAACTCGAGCTCGCTTGCAAAACCTTTTTCTCGGGACAATATACGCGTTGGTGTCGGAAAGTCAAGACTGCCTTCGCAAAGTCGTCTTCGTAGGTCACGGGAATTCGCACCTTACCTTCAAGGCGCAAGGCGCAAATGATCTGGATGAAGGTAACGAAGTCAGAACTCACAAGACGGATTTTGACGTAACACGCTCATCGTTTCACAATAAACCTTTGCGAAAGAACCGTGCTGTTTCATTGCCGTGTATGCCTTTTTTATACCAAAGCCAGGAATGCTTGGCAAGTAGTCACATCCGGAAAAGATACACATCTCGAGGAACTGCTCGGGGCGAACAAACACACACGCAAGGTTACAGAACGTCTGCCAGTTATATTCCACAAACTCTTCCACCCGAAACGTACCATCTGTTCAGTAAACATGTGGAAGCTCAGACCCTTGTTCTTCTTGAGGTTTGCCATTTGTATTTCCTGTGCCACGTTATCGCGATCCATCTTAAATAGAACAGTCTGGCATCCAAATGGAAGACAGTCCGAGTCCTCGCTAATGACGCCATCTGCAAGTCCATTTTTCACCAGATAGGCCAACTGTGCGTCGGCCTCGTACGGAGCCACGACGTAGAGCACATTCTGTGCTTTCAAGCGCTAGCCCATGAATGACATGACATGATGAAAACACAGTATTTTCACGTGAGCAAAACGACAGAAACCAGACGGTCTGAACAGCCTCTCTCTCCCTCTCACCTGAATGACTCGATGGGCCATGTACGGCGAAACGTCTGCCGCCCGAATAAAGCACTTGCGAGCTTCGCGAAAGCGTTTGTGCTTGTGATGCTCGATACCGAGCGCTCGATGCTTTTGCCGCGAGTCGCGTCGCGCTTCCTCCGTGTCTCTTTTCATTGGGAGAAAGCCTCCGTCGAACACAACGTAAGGAGTCACGCGGTAATGCCGCAGCGCTGCAAGTCGGTCCATAAAGTACGTTACATATCTGCACAGCGACATCCCCCAACCATTCCACAGAGGTCAGTAAGGACAGACGTCATGCACCAGCAGCCACGGACTAAACCGATCACAAGATATCGCTCGTACTTGTCCGTCTCTTGACCAAGACAGATTTCTTGGCTACACGCGTAGATAGCACGATGAAGCCTAATGGGTACGATTTCATCACAATCGAAACAGGTCCATTAGATGGGGTCTGACTGACGGTGTCGTCGTTCTTTGACCGACTGGCCGCGCAACTAGCAACGTACCAGCAGTATCCGTCGATCGCCAGCGTACGGCCCTTGTACTCGTCGATCGATTTGGTCTCAGTGATGCTCTTGAGCAGCGGGAGGAGACCAGAGATACCCATTGCGGTCGCGGTCGTCGTCCTGCGCTCTTTTTCGCGCGACGAAAACAAACAAAACGGCGCGTAAAAAGTGTTTTTTACAAACGCTGAGAGTTACACGTAACCATGCATGTCTGTTTTGTGCGTCGTGGGGGAATGTGCTCCCTCCGATAAGTTATGCGCTCGGTGGACAGGGGGTTCGACTGACTTAGCAGAGGTTGCAAACTTACTGGAACGTGCAGCGGATACGTGTTATTGATGTTGAAGCGGACGACAGCAAACTAAAGGGAGACGCTGCCCCGACACGCAAATTCATGTAGAACAAGGCACGTGATTAACTCAAAAAAATACGGGTTTTCAGGCAGTTGATGGGAGGCTTGGCATCCAACATCCTTGCTGGGTTTTGTAGCATGTGTCCTGTATTTTGAACTTACCTCGTATCTGTACAGAACTCCAAACTATCTCTTGTTCGTCAATACTCCGTCGCGTACGAGGATAACTGGTAGCTTGCGCATGTCAATCTTTTAGCCTATGGGACGTCCAGGATTCAGTCGATAGATGTCGGCGTCACACCGGCATGCAAGCAGCGCAACCACAGCTGACACGAACAGATCGTGGCCGATTTGACGAGTGCGGGGTGATCAGCATTATCGACCAAATCGGCCGACTTGCATCATGCGCTTGTCAAAAGCTGCCTGGACCGAGATATCGCCCACCGACACCATCAAACCCTTATGTTGTACGGGGTTTCGTTTGTCGTTTCTCGTACCTCTGCAGCTGTACGGCAATGGAAAGAAAAAGGCTTGAAGGAGATAGAAGAGGCGGAGAATACGCTGGTGCTGGACGTGGGAGGAAGCGTGAACAGCTGCGTGTTCGGAAGACCAATGCTGAACACGAGCATGTTAATCGCATTGTGTGCGCTAGTGAACAGTGCGGTGCTGTCGGTGAAGAGTGATGGCAATGGAAATGCGTGTGTGGTCTTCCCGTGTAGCGGTATTATTATCGCTTCTAGGTTGCAAGGGGTCGAGTTTCGATCTCCGACAAGGCCGTGTCCTTTGCCGATCGTTTGTACCTGACCGTGGCGCCCTTCGGTGTGTGTAAGATGCATTCGGACTGTCGACAATAACGTCTTACGTCATGCCGGCTTCCTGCTCAATACATCATAGGAAAGTCATCGACATGCGACCATCACATTCATCAGCGTAGCGCTGCTTTTGTACTCGTAAGCGCCTCGTCCGAATCAGCTAAGTGCGGTGAAAGCCTGTCAGGCTACGATACATCAGGAAGCAACAGCGGCGCTGTGCGCATGGTAGAATACATCTCGATGCATGTGTCGTCGAACATCCTGTCTTGGCGCTACCGGTACTCGATGTGCTTTTGCTCTGCCACAATACCTGCGTGCTGTCAGTGGTCTTTTCCGTTTAGCAGTGGCCTCTCTTGCACGCGACATCTATCTCCTTCGCCTCTACAGATTGTTCGCTCACAACCGATTGTCCTAGTCTTCATATTGGGCACATCTTGGTGGTATGTGTACCTACCCGGGCGCCGTCCTGCTAGTGCACAGTGCGGTCTAAGCCGTGGAAAAGGATCAAAGGTTCAAAGATTCTTCAGTCACGGGTGTGTGACGCGCAGATGGATTGCACAACGAGAAACGTTCTAGTACAACAACAACTTAGGTATCTTCATACCGCATTTTACAGCTGTTGTAGACACGTTGCGTTGCCCGAGAGGGCTGCAATTATACAGCACTCCTCCCATCACAAGCTTGTTTGGTACATATGGTGGGTAGTGATGTCGACGTTCGCCATTGAACGTGTGTATGACTGCGCACGCGATGTTGTGTGTTAGCAAATTTTGTTGCTGGTCAAAGACGTTTGGTTGCGCCACGCTGATGGTGTGGATCATGCTGACAATAGCCTTGCTCTTCACGCTGTGACACGTGCCCGAGTTACGCACACAAAGGTTCCGACCATCGGCCATCATGCACCATGAGTCCAGCATTGTATGCCTTCAAAAATTCCAATGCATGCCAGCCAAGCTCATGCTGTACCATCGTGCAAGGGTAAACGGTATCGAGCGTTGCGACCAAGCGCTCAGGCGCCATGCTGCCTTTACCCAGTGCGCTTGATCTCGATCAACTTCGTTCGCTAGTATTGTCAGGTTTTGGTCACCGTGATATCCGACCAACACCGTCGAATCGTGATTTACAATGTCTCGGTCTCTCAAGAGAACGAGAAATGGAAGTGCCATGGCAAACGATCTCTTCATCGAGACGAAGTGCAGACGACTTGGAGAAAGCAGCAGGAGCTCCATGACAACAAGCAGTCAACGCAAGCGACATCGATTTCGTTTTAGTATGCTCGCGGATCCATGACTGCAGCTTTGTTCTGCAATATCCAGCACTTCGTCGCCAAGGCAATGAGCCCTCCCGAATGCCATCAATCCCCTCGGCTACACGTTGTCTCAGTCTTGGACACCTTGAAACCCTCGTCTCAGCATAGTATATACGACACTATCAGACATCATCTCAGACACCCTGTTGGGACGCAGCGTATCCACGAAGATGTAGCTGCCGCATACTCAGCGCGTGTCTGCCCTGCGACGAAGGCCTGTGTGCATATCTTGTGAGCGTCTACCAGCTGTCCAATGAAGCAGTGATCAATCTCGTGCGCATCAAGTGACATGGCTGGCGAAACGTCCGGCGTCTCGCACGTTGGGCCCACCAACAACCGGCTCGTGCTGTGATTCTTTTTATCGTCGCATTCGATGCGTCAGAGAGTGATCGCACTTGAGTCAGCAGCAGTGGTGGCGTGGCATAGATAAGGGGAGTAGTCTGTGTGCCGCATTTCCAGACTGAGACTATGACTTGAGCAGGCGGCGTACGTAATCCATTCGGAGACTCATTCCCACAGAAGTGGGCGCAGCTGCTCTGTGCGAACAACGTAATGAGCCCGTGAGCGCAGGCGGAGTACAGCATGATGCAGCTCCATTAGCAAGACACTCGAAAGGACTGTCCCGTCTGATCCTAATAGCAAACCTATCGTTGAGCTGACTAAATCGATCGCACGATGCTGCTTACGTAGACGCTTACAGGCCATCGTGCCGTCCGAGCCCAAGGCCGAGGAGGCGCTGTCGTGCTTCCATTCAAAGATTTTCCACCCCGCAGCGAGAAGAGGGGCACGTTTGAAGCTCGAGGGCGGAATATCTGCAGGAAACAAGTCGCGACTCGGCGATCCGCATGACCAGCTGCTATTGCATCTACATTCACATGACAGACGAGGCACAGTAAACGAACATCACACTTACCATCAGGGGTCGCTGGCGGTGCAAAAAAGCGTGCTGTCAAAAAAATTCAGTAGGGCAGTTGCGTTGGCGTCTGCTGCTCGTGAGCTAATGCGGGCGCAAACTAAAGTGCTGCTCGAAGCGGCGACTGCGGCTATCGATTTAGCCCTTGGATTTTTCGCCGTACGTGTCCAAAATTCAGGAAGTGGCCCAGCGATATCACGCGGCGCTCCGCCTGCGCGTCGCGGGAGCACCGGGCACCGGAAACAAAGGTATGTAGCTCATGGTGATACGCCGCGACGGTACGACACGGCCCTGATTGTCAATGCGGATTCTTGGCTTGTTTGAGGGCAACCAGTGGATCAGACACATGTCCAGTCTGGTGCTCAAGACGAAGCAGCCCGACACGACGTTTGAGAGAGAGCTAGTTCCGCTCCGTGAAGCAACGGCTCGATTGAGCGCAAGGTGTCGTCGTTCCTTCTATCAGCATTATCATCCAGGCAAACCGACCTGCTCCTCAACCTGCAGTAGCACTCGACTCCCTGATCTGCCACGTCAACGGCAGGGACGTTGACCCGCCAACCTATCGTGAACAGTGCTGATCAAAGTAACATGTGCGTCTTCGCGTCGCTTTGTCGCTCGCACGCAGCTAGTTGCCCGCCCCTTGTCAGCGTCGACTGTACAGCATCAAAGAAGCTTCCAGCATCCAGGCTGTTCGCTTGGCGCGTGGTCCGAATACTTTGCAATCCCGACATGGTGGTATGCAACTGGCTCGATGTCCGAAAAAGAGCTCGACAACGTGATTACGAAAGCAGCCCATGCAGTATCGATCGGCTCACAAAGGCGAAGCGCTTCTAGACCGGCTAGTTCGAAATCTGGACCGCGTACTCCTACGAACAGTCAGCAGCGAGTGATGCATATCCATCCAGTGCAATTCGCCGCCGAGCAGCTCTTTCGCTCAGTGCACTTGTTCCGCGTAACCGGGTGGACAAGACACCGCCACGCGCTTTTTTTTCCTTCTTCTACAAAGCTGCTGCACGATCCGACTGCACTGGGCATAGGGTACCACGACGTACACGCTCGAGTGTCTCCGCCTTTCTCATGTCGTCGCGCTCCTGACCAATGAGCGACTGGGCGGTATTTCTCGACCCGACACCTTGCAGACTCTCCTCGTCCTGCACCGGATGCAGCAGCAGTCGCAGTCGCAGCAGCAGCGGTCGGTCCGCGTCCCTCGTGCCTCGTTTTGCTCTGCGCGTCTCACGTTCTGTTGCTGTCGTTCGTTCGTTCGTTCACTCGTGTCAATGTGTACCACAGAGCGGCGACAAAGCGCCGCGAGTGCAGTCCAGAGCCCCGAGACGAACGTGCTGCTGCAGGCCAAAAACGGCCGTTGCTGCCCAGTCGTGCCGGGTATGCACCCGGCGGTGCGGCTGACGGGATGCTCGGGATGCTGGCAAACCACGCAGACAAGCAGAGGCCATTGCTCGATCAGCGCGAGCGGCAGCGGCATCAGCAGCACCTGCCAGAGAACCCGCGTCCTGCGAGGTCGCTCCAAGCCGCTGGCGCTCGCGCGACGCAGCCGCCAGTGACAATGGAGCAGCTCACCGTAGCTGTTGATCGCAGCAACATGGACTATCGAGAAGAGAAGGCGCCATCGCTCATGACGTTTCTCGGTCGATCACCCACCGGCTGCTTGTCGCAGGTACCGGAATACGTGACGTCGCCTTGTTCCATGTGGGAAAAGAGTCGACTGAAGGAGCGAATGGACCCCACTGCGAGTCCAAGACGCACTGGCCCTGTTACGAGTGGACAGGGCCAGACACCGCCGAGCACGTCCCTGAGACGCCGACACAGCTTCCTCTTGCCTGACCCGCCGGTGACTTTTCAGTCGCACGGCACCCACAAGCGTCGCACGTCTCCTTGTTCTCCCACGCAGGAAATGGCTGCGATCACAGCAGCAGCTGCTGTCAAGCGCCCTCGTCTCGCCCGCCGCGTCTCTTCACAATGGCGCCAAGAGCTGGTACCGCGGGATCGTGCGCAAACGCGCGAGCGGATGATGCGCAGTCTCCATACGCATTGTCAAGGCGACTACGAGAAGCTCGTGCTGTTGCTGTCGTCGATGGAAGAGGAGATGCTGTACAGGAAGACGGCGTCCAGCGACTCGTACGTGCAGCAGGCATTTGAGCTCAGCGCTCTTGTCGAGCACGCTACGCTCGAGCGTTAGCCCTCTTGCAAAGCGATGGGCATGTGTAAACGTGCGACGCACGACACGGGGCAGTACAAGACCCTGGGAACGGCGACGATGCCGTAGGGAGCGTCGTGGGGCGGCGATTGCAACGACGAACGAGCTGCTGGAACGCATGCGAAGAGAAGATACGTACGCTGCAGCTCAAGTGGGAGACTGACGTGTGTATAAACAAGAAGCCGGTCAAATGAGTCAAATGAGTCAGTCCTTAGCCACGTAAAAACAAACATGTTGTGAACTTGAGCCATGACGGGTATCTACCGAGCGAAAGTTGTTGTGCGGTAACGACCTCAATGGTTCGCTTCGCAAGCACCTCTTGAACTCGAGACCACGGTACACGGGCATCGGAAGGCCTTGTTTCGAGCCAAGGCATTTCGCTTGGAAGCGTCGGGCAACAGCGACTGGTACTCTGAACAGAAGACGCGCAAGGCTCCTAGTCGTCATCGGACACATGACCAAAAAACGTCAGGAGGTAGGCACATCCACATGATCAAACTACGCTGCGTCCTCTTACGCTCACCTGCGGACCTATAACTTGCGCTTGAGCAAGCCAGCGAGAAAGTCGAACGAGTTTCCGTCCGGATACAGCTCCAGCTGGGAGCCATCGTCACCCTGTGCCAAAAGGCAGCCCGTACTTGTGAGGCCTTTGATGACTGCAGGCACCTTTTTGCCACACGCATCATCAGCACTTGCGACTTGCACCACTTGCTCAGTGTGCAGCCACCGCGCCAAGTACTCGGTCATGAACGGCGCGAACCCCTTTTCGACAAACATCTTCTCCATGGGCTCGTACACGTTGCAGAACGCCGCCATGAACTCTTCCCTGCGCCACACTGTCAGTCAGTCACGAAACGCAAGTCCTCGCAGCGCGCACGCCGCCACCCACTACCTTACTTTGTGACAGTGCACGCCTGTTCCGCCGTGCTCAAGACGTCCTGCAGACACATCGTCGGCGACCGGTTCGAGATATTCATGCCAATACCTGCACAGCATCGAGTCATGACACTGTCGTGCACCGTCTCGTCAAGAACCTTTTAGCAACACACCTGTCGTGACGCTAAACTTGCCATTGCAGTAGTCAGACTGACACAAAATGCCTCCAATCTTGACGTGCTGGGCGTAAATATCGTTGGGCCACTTGATCCCGACGAGTCCGTTCCGACCAGATGCTCCATCAGCATCGCCATCGATCGCCTCGACGGCTTTGACCACCGCCAGCGACACGAGGTACTGCACAAACGGCAGCGTCTCGCCGTCCACGAACGCGCTCTGGAAGGAAAACGTGAGACAACCACGAGGCGACGACCACGAGTTCCTGCCACGTCCCTTGCCGCCAGACTGCAGCTGTGTGTAGCACACCAGACCCGCGGGCGCTGCAGGCTTAAGCGTCTCGCGCAGCAGCGTCTGCGTCGACGCCAACGTGGGGCCGTAGAGCACGACGTTGCCCAGCTCCTGCGTCTTGAGCAGCGGGAACAGCTTGCGCTGCACCGCGTCCGCGCCGTGTGCGGAGAGACCCACCGGGTACGATGGCCTCGCGCCTGCTAGCCACGTCTGCAGCGCCTGCAAGTGGCGCTCCGAGCGCACGTAATACCGGAGATCGTCCGTCATGTGCTTGCCTCGCATAAGCCGATCACCGACTGCGCAACTGATTTCGAGAGGGGGCAAAAGAAGTGCTTTTTTGTAAACACGTGTTAAAAAAGAGAGCATTGTTGCGTCATGGCTTGCAATCGCAGCAGCAGGGGCAAGCAGTATCGTTTTGTGGTGTAACAAGACGCAAAAAAGCGCTCTCAATCAAAACGCATGAACGACGTCGACGCGGGATCCAAGTACTTGATGTCTAACGTGTAGCTTGGACCCATTGAAGAGCTCAGGTGAGCAGCCTGCCGTACAGACACAGTCGTAAGTTTAACCGCCAGTGAGTGCTACCAGTGACAGAACCTACTCCACGCTAAACGCGGTGGAGATGCCGCACCTTTATGTACTTGCCCTTTGCGCCTTCCGGCTTCGCGTCACTGAGCGCAACCATGAACGCTCGCACGTTTTCCAGCAGTGCCTCTTCCGAGAAACTCATCTTTCCGACACCAGCGTGGATTATGCCCTTCTTCTCCGCACGGAACTCTACCTGACCGCCACGGGCAGCAGCAATCGCATCGCCAACTTCCTGCGTCACCGTCCCGAGCTTGGGGTTCGGCATCAGACCACGAGGACCGAGGATCCGGGCCACGCGACCCACCAGCGGCATCACATCGGGCGTCGCGATACAGCGATCAAACTCAAGCTTCCCGCTCTGCACCTGCTCGACAAGGTCCTCGGCACCCACGATCGTAGCACCTGCAGCCTTGGCCTCTTCTGCTTTGGCGCCGCGAGCGAACACGGCAATGCGCACCTGCTTGCCCGTTCCATTCGGCAAACTCACTACGCCACGAACGCTCTGGTTCGGCTTGCGCGGATCCACACCCAACTGAATAGCAAGATCGATGGTCTGCAACAGCAACAACAAAAGAAGCAGCAGCAGCAACCCTCGCACCAACAGTCATTCATCGATACTCAGTCAACGAGTCGGCCAAGTACTTGCTCGAGTGCGCCTCACCTCGTCAAAGTTGCGCGCTTTCTGGGTCTTGCACTGCGCCACTGCCGCCTGGATATCGACCGGAGCCTATACGTCATACCACAGCGCGCAATCACTTGTTACCCACGCGCTCAGACAGTCACAAATAAGTAGCTCCGTTCGCAATTGGACGTACCTTTGGGGCGTTCGAGCGACGAGGCGCGATGCCGAGCGCCGTGGGCGAGCGCCCTGATGCCGCAGCAGGTGCCTCAAGCGTCGAAGCTGCACGTACATTGCACCAACTGGCGCGTACGACGCGACCTGTGGCGGTGCCCGACGTAGACAGGAGGAGCGCCCGCAGCATGACGACGGGTCTGTGTGGATGCTGCTGAGTGTGCCGCGTTGATTGGCCCGGAGGCCGCGGAGGATGTTATCCGAACGCCCGACCGGCTGGGGATCCGGTTGCGCGAATGTCGCACGACGACAGACCGCTTGTCACGCAGGACGGCAGAGTTGCGAATGCGCGTGAAGACAGCTGTCTGTGTCGCTGGCTGCGCTTTTGCTGAGATAGCGGCGCGCGCCGCAAGTGCTGGAGCCATGTGCAGCAGCCTGAACGGTCCTTTCTGTGCGTATTTCGGCTACGAGAACGCTCGGGCGCCGCTCTACGCACGGCAGAATCTCGCTGGAGACGATCAGGTAACGTGGCGATCGAGACGGTGTTTGTCGTCAGCGCAGTGGCTGTGTGTCTCGCGTGGTGACGTTGTGGTTATGGCATTGTATGTGTGTGTATGTGTGTGTGTTGTAGGAGATGAAGACACTCGAGACGGACAAGAGCGTGAAGATCCAGCACGTGCTGAAGGAGTTCGCGACGCAAGCGACAGCGGATGGAAGCACAGACGAGGCGAGTGCAGTCGCGCGTGATCCTCTCGCCGAGGTCGAGGGGGGCCTCATGTTATTTGAAAAGATAATGGGCGAGACGCTGTACACGATGCTGCTGGGCATGGACGACGACGAGTCGAGTCGTGCTTCCGACGGTGTGATTGAGCTGCTCGAAAGTCTCGACGGCGACGCGCTCAAGGTGAGGCATTGCTTTGGGTTTGTTGAGGCTTTGGTGTGCCACGTGCACGCGAGTGTTGGTGAAGCGGGATGATTCATGTGTCTGCTGTGATGTGCAGGGAGTGTTTGTGATTGCGCTCGACGTGCTGGTAGCCGAAGCGACCGCGACGTTGTCCGAGAAGGCACCTACTGCAACGGACAATGTGCGCGTGACGGCACAGGAGCTCAAGGAAGTAAAGGGTTACGCAACGTATACGCTCTCGAAGCTGACGGCCACGCAGATTGAGGGCATCCGCTACAAGTTTGACAGTCGTCCTTTTGCCATGATGCAGGTTGCGTTTCAGCTGCTCGTGATTGCTGGCGACGCGAGGGGGCGGCTATTGGCGATTGAAACCACGATTCTAGTGCTCCAGCTCGCTCAAGAAGCTGCCACGAAGGCCAAGAGATTGTCGGGAAACGACGTTGCGGACGCAGGTGCAACGCGTGCTGTCGTTTGAGCCGAAGACGCTACGCGTGCGCGACAAACGACGACAAACGACGACAAACGACGAAGGCCACTTACCCACTGTGTAGATATATAGCGATCGGAAGCGTTGAATGGAATCAGATTTTCTGAGCGCAGTTTCTGTGTCTCGTGTCTCTCGGTAAATTGCGGCGTGTCAAAAAACATGTCGGACGGTGACTGGCCCTGTCCCAATCCCGGGTACGTCCTGTGCTGCAGCTTGCGAGGAGTGTACCCCCGTGCAGGTACTCACGCGGCGCGGCCGACAGCTGCTCGAACATTAACTTTGCGCGACGCAGCGCGTGCAATCGGTGCCAGACGCCCCGACTGGAGGGCGCTGGCGGCAGCGACAAGCCCAAAGCCAAAGGCGGGACGGACTTTCGGGGTCCGCCTGGTCTCTTTCAGGCTGGAGACTGGACCTGCAATACGTACGATGTGCTGGTTGCAGTGCTTTGTATGGTGTGTGTGTGTGAGTGTACTGACTACGTGTGTGTGTGTGCGGGTGTTTTCTTCTTGTGGCAGGTGTGGCAATGTCAACTGGGAGCGACGGTCCGAGTGCAACATGTGCAAGAGCTCGAAGCCCGGGATGCCTGGACTAGTGCGTGTCCAAGTGAGCGCTCCAGAGTAGTGATGCTACTGGAGCTGACTAGAGCGTCTTGTGGCTGCTGCTGTCGTGGTGCTAGGACGAGCGACGAGATGGTGCTGGAGGGGGCTTCAATGAACGCCAAGAACGGTGAGTGGGGAGGACAGGAAGTACGCAGTCACTCGGAGGAGCTGTGTTGACGTTGTCGAAGCGCTGACGTGGTGCTGCCGGTGCTGGTAATGATGTGCTGGTCGGCGTGTTGGTTTGTCCAGCGTTGCATCGGCAAAGAAAGAGGTCGGCGAAGACGGCTACGATGACTTTGGCGTGAGGAAAAAGGTGTGTGTAGGCCGCCACGCAGCACAATGAGAGAGGACGTAGTAGTGCTGCGACACACGCTCATGTTCTGCGGCTATTCTGTGCTGTAGAAAGTGAAAGCGTCCAAGGCGGAGCGCGAGGCTGCAGCCCTCGCTCGACTGCAGCAGTCGTACAGGTGGAACATGTACATTGCCAAGCATCCGCGGTCTGTTGGATATGCTAACGTGTTGAGTGCTGCTGCCAGTGCGATCTACCAAGCGCCTCAAAGCGCTGCCGTTTCCTCGACGGTGGCTAACCAGGAGGAGGTACTGGGCGAAGCGGTGGCAGTGGCAGCTTCCGCCGGGCAGGACAATGACGAGAAACGGCAGCGCAGTCGATCACCACGAGCTACTGCAACAGGACCAGGTGATCGACTCAAACTGCGCAGTCGAAGTCGTGAGCGCAAACGCTATCGTAGTCCGAGCCGCGAAAAGAGGGACCGGCATGAACAAAGTCCTGCTTCTCGGAGCCGAGATGGCGATCGACGACGCTACCGCAGTCGCAGTCGTGCTCGTGCTGACAGTCGAGAGCGAGACCGTAGTCGGCGCGAGAAGCGCCACCGGTAGACTCAGGTCGGTCGAAACATGGTGTCACGCTGGCCGATAGCCGCCCTCGAATTGATGTTCACACTGGATTGTTGTTCACGTGCAAATGCCGCTGCTCGCAGCGGCAGATCGTTCTAAACATGGCCTAACGACTGCGGAGACGCACCACGCTCAATGTACAATGTCTCGATCAAATGTTTACCACTAGTGGTAGGCTTAGCTTTGGGGTAACGTTCCACGCGCACGATCCACGATACCTTTCACAAACACCGGCGCGACTTCAAATAGGTTCTTCAGGATAATATCCGGGATGTTGAAGTTCTTCACACGCTCCTCCGGGTCCTTGTCCAGCTGGACTTTCACGGACCACAGCAGCAGACACCCTTGGCCTGACGAGTCGTTGAAGTTCTTCAAGAGCACGCTGTAGATCAGTACGCAAAACGTAAGCACAAATGAGACGGCCGCACACAGAGGAGCAACACACAGTAACGTACGCGGTGGTGGCGTTGCGACGGAAGTGGCCCGGCAGCTTAGGGTGGTTCGGATCGTCCATGACGGACTGAGAAACCATCGACGAGCTGCCGTCCGGGTTGTCGCGTTTCTGGTTGATCGTCAAGCTCTCTTCCTTCATCACGCCTCCGCCAACCGCCGCATCGCTAGACATCGTGAGGTTCACCACTCGGCGGACGTACTTCGTGTTGGGATTAATCTCGTCCACCACCTCGGCCGCTTCTGTGAACGGAAACCCCTTCTCGTAGCTGGCATCGCCAGTGACTGACCAGAGATCGTTCATCACGACGGTCGCGTCGCAGCCAAACAGATTGTGGCGGAAGTAAATGCCCATTTCGTTCTTACCCATTTCGTATTGGACCTGCAGACCAAAGTACGTCATCGTTGATGTCCTCGGGTTGCGGAAGGCCGCCTCGCACGCGGTGAGCTGCTTGTCCGCAATGGTCATCGCCCCGGACGTCATCTCAATCAGTCGATCACGGAACGACCCCGACTGCAGCTGCAGAACCGACGGCACTGCCGAAATCGCATTGGACAGTGCCGTCGGCGTCGTCGCAGCAGAGGACGACGAGTTCAGGATCATGTCGAGCGACGGCATGTTGAGCAACGGCTGCTTGGTGAAATAGTCCTGCAGTCGCTGGATAAACTTCATCTGCTCCATCAACGTCTTGCGCAGAAACTCGTTCTCCTGGTCCACGCGCGCGCGGATCTCAGCGTGCTGCTCGGCCTCCTGCTTCCAGCCCAGCTCCGTGTTGTGTTCCGATGGTTCCGACGACTGCAGCACTTCAATCTGCTCCTTCAGGTCTTTCACTTTGGCCCGCAAGGCAATCAGCTCGTCCTTCTGGCGCTGCCGGTGTTTGCGCGCGGCCTTGGCGATCTGAGCCCGTCGCTTTGCCTTGGGGTCCTCGTACTCCTCGGGCGGCTTGCGGCCGTCTTCGCCCGACTCACCGTCCGCGTTGGAGCTCGGGGCTTTGCGTTTCTTGGTCGTCTTCTTCTCTTTCGCGGCAGCTGTAGCCGCTCCACTGGAAGTCGTGGACGACCCCGTGCCCGCGCTCGGCACAGTCATAGACGTCGTACTCCCCAAGCTCGGGAACAACATCGAGTTCGTACCCATCTGCGACGCCAGGCGGCCGCCGTGGATCGGCGCCAGGCCGTTGTTCCCGACAGTCTGTAGCCCCGGCATGGACAGCGACATGCCCATGCCCATGGGCAGACCCATGCCGCTGCGGCCAGCACCGCCGAGCTGAGGAGGTGTCATGCCCATGGACGACAGCGCGGCGCTTGAGCTTGCCAAGAGGCTGCCCGAGGCGCGTAGCGGGGACGAGGAGGAGCTCGCGGCCGTACTGTGGCGCGGGTTCGCCGCTTCGCGAAGGAGATTGTGGAACGCGTCCATTGGCTTTGCACAACGCGGTGGGCGGGTCGCTGGGCGGAGAAGTGGGTACGACGACGGACGTACGTGATCAGCAGCTCCCGCGACGGGCTCTTGGTGGCTGCTCTCGCTGCGGCGCGATGGCCAGAGGTGTGATTACGAGGAGGTCACGTCACTGGTCGTGGCGTTTACGTAAGCGCGAATTCGTGAGTGCGACCCGGCGAGCCAGTCAGTCCGTCCGTCGCGGTGGGCCAGTCAGGGCCTGGCTGGGCGGGCGAGGGGAAGACAGCATAGCGAGCGCAAGTGGAAAGAAGAAAAGCCGGCGGCACGGGGGTCGCTGCGTGCGTGCGGATTGGCTCGAGCGCATCACACGGGCTCGTCTTTGTCTGGCAGAGAGCTCGTGATGCACCAATCAATGCGTGGCAAGCGAGGGAGATGGGGGCGGGGTAGAAAAGACGTCGTGATTGCGACATCCTCCTCAGGACGCGGCCGACTTTTCAGCGCTGCTACAAAGCGCTTTTTTTTCCTTCTTCTTCTTCTTCTTCTTCTTTGTGAACGACGATGAACGAGATGCGTTGACGCACGCACGTCATTGCGAGGCAGTATCAAGTGGACACGATCGGTAGCAGGAGCAGGATAACATGTAGGTTGGGCGCTAGCTACCTACAAAAGTGTAGCCATTGACTGATTGGTTGAAAGCCAACGCTTCACGCCATGGAGACAGTCGAGGCCGCTGCACCTGCTGCTGCAGTAAGTCCGCCGCGCTTTTCAGGCCGTCGCAACGCCGCCAACGAAGGTGCATGTACGCCCTCGTGCGCTCAGTCCAGCCGAAGCGACTGCCAGCGTAATGGGTACGTACTGCGCACCTTGGCTTGTAACGTAGCATCGGCGTCGCAGTGATCCAACGTCAATCGATCAATCAGGTTGTGTGCGTCAACCGAAGTCGTTGCCGTCCAGACGAAGGCCAAGCGAAAGCCGTCGGCTGCAGCGAGGATGCGCCGGATGGCGAATCAGATTCCAGAAGAGATCACGAAGAACGCAGAGCTGACCAAAGCCATCGAGCAGGTTGGCTTCGAGCGTTGTAGACAACGGGCAGGACGTTCAACTCTTGTGCTGATGATGACTCTGCTATTGTGAAGCTGCCATGGAACTACAACTTTGAGATCCACAAAACCGTGTGGCGGATTCGTCAGGCTGGCAGCAAGCGCGTGGCGCTGCAGTTCCCTGAAGGCCTGCTGCTGTACGCGTGCGTCATCTCTGACATTATTGAGCGATTCACAGGAGCTGACAGTATTATTCTCGGCGACGTACGTCTGTGGCAACGATGAGGGCAATGCTGGTAGTAGAGTATTGTCGTGGTAACGATGGTGTGGGTGCAAGCAGGTTACGTACGGTGCCTGTTGTGTGGATGACCTCAGCGCGCTTGCGCTAGGGGCCGACTTTATGGTGCACTATGGCCATAGTTGTCTTGTGCCTATCGACGTCACGTCGATCAAAATGCTCTACGTGTTTGTGGACATTGCCATCGACGTCGACCATGTATGTGGTGGCCGCACAAGGACTGCTTTGTCGCGTGCGCCATAACGTTGTGTGTATGTCGATTGCCTCTGATTGTAGCTCGTCGACTGCATGAAACTGACTTTTGCCTCGGATGCCAAGGTCGTGATGACGTTTTTCTCTGTTTCCGCTGTGTCATTTCGCGCAATGTTGGGCTTACGTGTATTCTCGTCGTGTGCACAGCTTGCATTGATGGGAACGATCCAGTTCAGCAGTTCCATCCACCTCGTTGCTTCGAAGTTGAGCGACCATTTTACAAGTATGGTCGTGCCTCAGGTCAAGCCACTGTCCCCTGGCGAGGTGCTGGGCTGCACTTCGCCCGTCATCGAGGGAGTTGATGCTCTCGTGTTTATAGCTGACGGCCGCTTCCATCTTGAGGTTCGTGTCGTGAGTCAGAAACGTACTCGACCCCTGCCTATCTCACATGTTTGTTGTGTTTACAAGTCGGCCATGATCATGAACCCAAACCTGAAAGCGTACCGCTATGACCCGTACCCGAAGGTGCTAACGCTCGAGAAGTACGATCTCCCGCAGATGATGGCAATTCGTCGTGCCGCTATTGATGAAGCCAGGGGGGCCAAGAATTTCGGGGTCGTTCTTGGAACGCTCGGACGCCAGGGTAACCCGCTGATTCTCGACCACATAAAGCAGTTGCTCGAGCAAAGCGGAAAGACATACTTTGTGCTTCTTCTGTCTGAGCTCTTTCCCGACAAGGTGAGTGCTAAGTGAACGATCGTTGCGCTAGAGGCTTCCTGACCGCATCCATCGCATTTATGAACAGCTCGCGCGGTTCAAAGACGTCGATGCGTGGATTCAGATCGCGTGTCCGCGGCTTTCGATCGATTGGGGCTACGCGTTTCCGAAGGTGCGTGACATGCAGAGGGTTTGCGCTGAACGTCACGTGCGGTAGTAGGTGCTAACGACGTCTTGCCATTGTCGTGTCTTTTTCCCAGCCATTGCTTACTGCTTACGAAGCAGAAGTGTGTTTTGAGCGAACGCGATGGAGAGAAGGCTCGTATCCGATGGACTTCTATGCCAAAGGAAGTGGTCCCTGGACGAACTATCACGACCGCAAGAAGTGAATGCTGTACGAACATTGGAGACGTCAAGATAAGCGCTTGCTGACGGGCAGTATAAAAGTCCGATCTTGTATCGTGGCGATACAGGTTGTCCCAAGGCGTTTCTTGTTTTTACAGTGTATGTATGACACATCCGACGACGGTGGACCTGCGCGTGGGTGGTGCTACAGCATGACACATACAGTACAAACGAAGGGTCAGCATCAGGGCCTTTCCTGCCACTTTGTAGCGATAGTGCGACTGACCTGGAACTGAGTACCTGCTCTACGCTGAGCTGCTCAACCCGACGTAGGACAATGTTGTCGGACTGTGCGACATATCAGGATGCATGACGAATCTCTCTGCGACGCACCGACGTAAACAGTCTTAGATGCAACGCTGGCGGCAAATCAGCCGTGCACACGTCCTCGTAGAGCAGCAACTCCAGCCGAAATTCGGCGAGATCTCCTTTCTCACCATCGAAGGCAAAAACAGTGTCTGCCGCATGCTTGTCTTCCAGGTTGTGCAATGATGCCAGATACAGGTGCTCCAACGCTTCCTCTACCGATACACGATTTGCCGGGTCGAATACGAGCACACGCTATAGCAAGTCAATGGCCATGAGTGTGGCGTCTGGACAAAGTGTTGCGAAGGATATTTCAGGTCGGACAGGTTGGGTTTACACAACTTGTTTCGTTCGCCCATCACAACACGTGCAGGTCGTCTTCACTAGGTAACCTACACTTGTCACCGATGGTTTGCAGTTGATGGACGTAATCACTGCCAGGAAACAGCGGAGAGCAACCGAGCAACTCGGCAAAAGTGCGCCCCGTGGACTACATGTCGACAGCCTTCGTGTACCCTCTCGACGAGAGCATGATTTTGGGCGCAAGGTAAGGCGTAAAAGGCACCAGCGCGTAAGGACGCACTCTGTCAGCTCCATATTCTCTTCCTCGGGAGTTAGTTCCCTCGTGATCGACCAAAGTCGCACGCTATCAGGTCTCAATGCGAATTTAGCAGCAACTTCGACAGGTTCGAGTCCCTGTGGAGCGCATCTACTGAGTGCATGTGCTTGAGTGCTCTCAACATCTGCTACAAAAAGTATTGTGCGTGGTCTCCAGTGAGTAGCTGCCTCGAGATAGATGATCCAATGTAGATCGATGTCTACATCGGGTTATCGACGCGAGGCAGCTACTCACTGGAGACCACACACAGTAATATCGGTCGACAATAATGTACACGTCTTCGAACTGAGACATGGACAGTGGAGGTAGCAAGTTCGAGATCGCACTCCTACTTTCGTGATCACAGTGCTGCAACAACTTGATATCGCGCAAGATGCACTTCGCATCGACGAGGTCCTCCAACACTCTCGCGATAGTCGCGTTGCACTTTTTGCCTTTGTCTCAGCCATCTACACGTATCTATATAAACAATGACGCACAAAAGCGTCAGTAGAAAAGAAGACGTCTGCCGTAACAAGAACGTGTGCACTGATCCATCGCTCTCCGTCGCTCTCTTTTGTAGTACAGGACAATCCCATACGCGCCACGATCGACGGCTTTAATCAACGTATGCCGTTGCTTGTCTGGAAAGTCGTTGTGGTTCCATCAACCGAGTGCGTACCCATCCGAGCGGACAGGACAGCGTCTTGACTTGCTCTGTTTAGGTGCTTTGTGCGCTTATGTTCCCTATAATCACTGCAGTGCTGGCACCACGCGACGCGAAAGACGCTAATTGACGGCTCAATGTATCACTGCTGACTCTTGAAGTCACCACAGAGCTCCTGAAGGACGAGGAGCGATCGTGTCAGCTGCAAAGTGACTGACACGATCAGTAAACAAGAAGAAGAAGATACTAAGACGCAGCAGTTATCCATTGTAGTACAACCACAACAGCAGCAGCATGGGAGTAACGTCCTCGGTGTACGGTCCCTAACGTCCATTCTCGACGACGCAAAGCACGTCCAGCCGCCCATACCGCCTCTTCCTCTGCCAGTCGCGCGTTCACGATGAAAAAACAAAGGAGTGATGGTCGCTTCAATGCCATGCATCGTTTCGAGTTTCAGCCAATCCAAACGCGTCGTGTCTTTTTCCTCTTTTTACACAATAGGTACGACACAAAGGCATCAACGGGCGAGGACTTTATTCCTTCCGAGAGAGGCACACACCACCAAAATAAGAGGCGGCGAGGGCGCGATCTTATTTGGGTTTCATTTCGTTTGGGCATAGCAGAGAAAGAGAGAGAGAGCGAGCGAGCGAGCGAGCAAAATTCCCGAGCGCGCGACTGCGACACAGACGGACCGACGACACCGTACCCGTCGACGCTATGGGTCAGGGCCAGAGCGGGTTGCCGCGCCAGACGCGCGACGAAGCGGCCAAGAAGAAGGAGGACGCGGCCAAGCAGAAGAAGAAGAAGAAGTTTGAGCCGCGAGGTGGGGCCATGACGCGCCGGCGCCGCAAGAAACGCGGCCCCGCAGCGGCCGTGCGGATCCCAACCGTGTACCCCACGGCCAAGTGCAAGTTGCGGCTGCTCAAGATGGAGCGCATCAAGGACTTTCTGCTCATGGAGCAGGAGTTTATCCAGAACCAGGAGGTCATGAAGCCCAAGCAGGAGAAGGACGAGGAAGAGCGGTCCAAGGTGGACGACCTGCGGGGTACGCCCATGGGCGTGGGGACGCTCGAGGAGATGATTGACGACAACCACGCGATCGTCTCGTCGTCCGTGGGGCCCGAGTACTACGTAGGCGTCATGTCGTTTGTGAACCAGGACATGCTCGAGCCCGGGTGCTCGGTGCTGCTTCACAACAAGGTCATGTCGGTCGTGGGCATCCTGGCAGACGATACGGACCCGATGGTGAGTGTCATGAAGGTCGACAAGGCGCCGCTCGAGTCCTATGCTGATATTGGAGGGCTCGAGTCGCAGATTCAGGAGATCAAGGAAGCAGTGGAGCTGCCGCTCACCCATCCAGAGCTCTACGAAGGCATTGGCATCCGTCCGCCCAAGGGCGTGATTCTGTACGGCGAGCCGGGCACGGGCAAAACACTGCTGGCTAAGGCTGTCGCGAACCAGACGTCGGCGACGTTCCTGCGGATTGTGGGCTCAGAGCTCATTCAAAAGTACTTGGGCGACGGCCCGAAACTTGTGCGCGAAATGTTCCGCGTGGCCGACGACCATGCGCCGTCGATTGTGTTTATTGATGAGATTGACGCAGTTGGTAGCAAGCGCTACGATTCAAGCAGCGGTGGCACGCGTGAAATTCAGCGTACGATGCTCGAGCTCCTGAATCAGCTGGACGGGTTCGATGAGCGCGGCGATGTAAAGGTGATTATGGCGACGAACGCCATCGAAAGCCTCGATCCCGCTCTGATTCGTCCTGGCCGTATCGACCGAAAGGTGTGTACCGCTGCATGAATGAGCCATCCCTGTCTCCTGTCAATGGATACTAACGGTGCTGATGCTATTGTTGTGTGCTGCGACAGATCGAGTTCCCTCTCCCCGACATCAAGACAAAGCGCCGTATCTTTGGCATCCACACGGGCCGCATGAGCCTGGCCGAGGACGTGGACCTGGAAGAGTTCGTGATGACCAAGGACGAGCTGTCGGGAGCTGACATCAAGGCTGTTTGCACCGAAGCTGGCCTGCTCGCCCTGCGTGAACGTCGTATGCGTGTGACGCAAACGGACTTTCGAAAGGCGAAAGAAAAAGCGCTCTACAAGAAGAAGGCCAACATTCCCGAAGGGCTTTACCTGTAATTGCCATCGGCTTCCGCGTGTGACAGGATGACGCAAAAACAAGAAAGTGTGCTCGATAGAGAACATGCGGTACGAACCTGGTCGGTCGCTCTCCATTATCACATTCCAAGCCAATTTTACATCACATTTCACGCCGATATCGGGCTCTTGATTGTCTACCGCCTTTGCAGCATCAGTGCTCGACGAGCAGTTCCGTGTGCTAGTCGTCTATCTACCTGGTAAGCTCAGTCGAAGCGACGACATTCCAGGCAGCCAGGACCGAAACGCCACGCTCGACCTCGAGAATTTGGACCCATTGAGAAATCGGTACGCCGACATTTTCCGGATCGACACGTCGCGCAAACCCCCTTTGCCACTGACGAGCTTCACGTCAAAGCGGTTGGCCACGTTCACGAGGTTCGCGCGCTGACTCTCAAGCAACGCGGCGCGCTGTCGCGTGACGGAATGCTGCAGTCCTTTGCTCGTCGTGAGCGCCGTTGGAACCGACAGCGCGCTGCCAGTCGGGTCGTCGAACGCATGACGGCGCCAATTGTGGATCGCGTTGGCCCACGTGGTCATCGTCTGCGACGTGACGGCAGCAAACAAGTGGGTCGTCTCGCGCTTGCTGGCGGCCACGAACGCACCCGCCTGGTGGTTCCGCCGCACCTCGAGCGCGTGCACGGCAAACCGGTTCGGACACAGTCCGCTGTGGTCGCTCGCAAGCGGCTGCACGCGGATCCGATGCCGTGTGAGGCCAACGGACTTGCACAGCACGCCACCCGGTCGATCGAAGCAGCGGAGCAGCCCGTGCTCGAGCACACAGTAGTGCACCTGCGCACTGCGCTCGTGGGAAAAGACGAGCAGGTACCCCTCCATGGGCCAACTCGCGGGGTACGCCGATCGCGTTGGGCGGTGCTGTCTGCGTATTCTGTCGGTTCTGTCTGTCTCTCGGATGGGGTACAGCCCACCGGCCGATAGTATGCCACTGCAACGCGCGACTTACGCAAACGCACCGGCTCTTCCACCCGCTTTTGTGTGTGGTCTCAGCTGTGCCCGCCCCATCGTACGAGACCCCTCATGTTCGACGCGGTTGTCGTGGAGTTGTGGACTGGCACTCGTCTCCCGTTTGCCCACTATTGACAGCGGTTGGGAATTCGGGACGGAAAAAGACTTTTCGAGGAACGAACGGTCCCCGAAGAGAGTCCGCTTTTGTCAGCTGCAGAAACAGTAGGGCTCTTTCTCACCACTTACTGCACAGGCGTCTCTCTCTCTTCTCTCTCTTCTCTCTCGTGTGTGTGGATCCAAAGGCTGGTAAGCACTGCGTATCCCTTTTGCGACTTCGGTGGTTGGACACGGCTGGTCACCTTATGTGGCGGCTGTCGTGTTGTCGGTACTGAATCCTGTCGGCGGTCTCGTACTCTCGCTTTGCTACAGCTCCCGAGTTGGTTGTTACATCCATGTTCCACAGCATTCCTGACTACTGCTTCCGATGATGGCGCCTGCATGCAAGGACGTAAACTACGCGGTTGTGTTGAACCGACCAGCACTTGGTGAGTACATTGCTCAGTGTATGCCATAGCCGCTTTCAAACATGTGCGTGTTCTTTCACCTCGTCAGAACGGTCTCGACGTACATGCTCCTAGACTACCTTGGAACAACACAACAAGCGTCGAGGCCTGACGGACTGCATGATGTTCGAGAACACTGTGCATGCGTCCTACCTCTTCCAGCATTCTCCCGTCCAGGGACATGGATGGGCTTCTGCCAACAGATTTGCACGGACGGACATGTCCAGAAGACTTATTCCATCTTTCTGCTCCCTCTACGGCACCAGTGTGGCTTTCCCGCAACCGGTATCGCTTCCACGTGTAGCGGACTGAAGATTCAGTTGCCGTACTACTGCTACTCGATGGATGACGAGTGCCCAAGTGCTTTGTGAGCGCGTTGTCCCAATTGACTGTCGAGCGAGTCATTCTTTTCCTACTACGGTCGCACCGTTTCAGTCACGACCACCCCACGACTGTTTAGCGACCTCTGTCGTCAAGGTCAAAACAGCCTTCGCGCACCCTCTGTCGTTTCCTTTCCCTTAATCATCGCACAGAGGTCGGAACTGCCAAAGGTGCACGAGCATCTCGTGAAGAGAAGAAAGGCAATTTCATTGTAGAGGAGGAATGAGATAGAGGGCAACTCTATCAGGAACCGATTTGACCTTTTCTTCGTCTTTGGGGTTCAGTCGGTCCACTGGGTATCCGAAGGCGCTGTTACTACGAATCTGTTCAGCGCGGGTCATCGTTACATGCCAAACTTGCCTGCTCGGTACCAGCGTCTCTCGGTCCATTCCCAGCTATAGCATGGCTCACAGAGCGCACGACACTACAGACGACACTCCAACATGTGATGTTCGTTGGAGCCGCCTCAGGTCCTATCTTTTCGTTTGTGCTTGTCAAAAAAGTGGGTTTCACATCATGATAACAAGTGATTTTACATCTCTTGACGAGGCGATAAGCTTCTGCGGAGTTGTCCTGCCGAGCCATCTATCCGCTCGTTCGTTTCTTAGGTTCCCAGGTGCAAACATTCATCGAGTGGCCATACGGGTTGTCAAAAAGCCTTCTGTGGTTTGTTTGATCGGAGAACGACTTGAAAGCGGTAATCAATTGATCGAAGCGGTTGGTGATAGCTTACCCAAAGTATCAAGTGCGAACCCCATACACTACACCTTGCAGAACAACAACTCGATGTGCCGTCCACCTATCAATTCAACGAGCTTACTGCTCGCTAGCGTAATCAGGTAGTAATCGGCCGATTGCTACCGGATTTGATGATGTCGTAATGTACATCTTTGTTTGCGCCGACTGAGCGATCATGCACTTGAATGGCAGTATGACAAGCACTTCGAAGGCACATCGAGGTAGATGGCAAAGAAGCTCAACTGTCGTAACAGACTACTGCTTGCAGTAGACTATAAGCGCAAGATAAGGTCACGATCGAGTCAGAGCTATCGTTGACAACATGATACATACAAACGTTGAGCATACTCGCGAGCGAGGTTATAGCATAGTGGACTGTCAAACTCTTCAAAATTACATCTCGCTTGGACTGGTGTGACGTTGGGTACGCAGATTGACGGCCGCGCGGTCGATGGAAGGATTCGAGTGGTCAAGCGTACGAACACTGCCGCATGATCGGTTTCCAGCCAATGACTGGACATCCCTATAGCTGCTGCCGTATTGCTGAGCGTAAACTCCCGGTACGTTTGGATGGGAAAAGTGGCTGGTACTCGGATAGCTACCCGAAGCGTGTGCATCATCCTGTACATTGCGGTAGTGCTGTCCGTCACCATACGTTCTCGCTGACTCAGCTGGAGTTGTCAAGTACACCACCACCCGTTCAGGACCAGCGTCGTCCACTCCAGCGTCCTCTTGCCAACCTCCACCAACCGTCAGACCACCTTGGTAACGTGCGTGCTGCACCACCTGTTGATCGCTCGGTCCACAGTGCGAAGGCACAGTTCCTCGTCGAATCATTTCAAAGTTACGGTTAACACCGTTGGCAGCATTCTCCTGATTGGGTGATGGTCGGCGAGCATATTGCACCAGATTTGATGTGCCATTGCCCGGTCGATAACGTGGATCCCCATTGCGACGTCCGCTTTTCTGTTCGCTGCTTGTCGCCTGTCCGTACGTCGAAGGCTCGGTGACCGCTGGCTGGCCTTTAAGCGAGCTTTTGTACATCTCCGCTACTTGGTGATATCTCCGAGCCGTGCGTTCATGTAGAATCGCTAGCAGTTGCTGTGCTCCTAGTTGCTTCGAGGTCTTCTTCGTCGAAGCAACACCCTGAAAAGAAGCGTCAGTATAAACGTTTCAACCTGGCCCTGCAAGTGCTTTGTACCTCTGCAACCTTGCCGCCAGCACTCACGATTGTCTTGAAAAGCTTCACGCCATTGTCTTCGACTGGCACCGCGTTATAATTAATCGATACGCCACGGTTGCGATTTTGATACTCCTGCAGAACTTGTGCCGGCGTCTTTACCGAGAGCTCCAAGCACGCCTAGTTCGGACATAAACGATTGAGCTACCATACGAACATACAACGGGAACGTCATATCTCTTTGACAGCTCACTCACCTGAAGAACACGGGGATCATCGATAGACAGCAGCTTGAACTCGTCCAGAGTCTAGAGACAAACAGTGCGAAAGCAGAGAACCGTTAGCCAACAACTTGCAACGCTGCAACAGCGACAAGAGCACACGCACCATCGACGATTGCGTGTCACTTCCGTTCTGTTCGGTAATCGCTGCGTCCAACTTGCGCTTTTTTGACTGGTGCTGACACATGCAAAACAGGTCATCAGTCTCCTCGATCAACAAAGAGCTGGCGACTACTACGACTTGACCATATCCAACGTCCTTCCGTACCGCAGTTCCTTCGTCGTGGGTCACAATCGACGACGCAGCGGAATACGCTGCCACGCTCATTTTTGTCTGCCTCGGCGCTGCAACGGCTGACGCTGGAGCAAAGAGACCCAACGGGGGTACGTGCTGCTGAACGAGGCGATGGAGTTCCGACTGGGACAACACGCCGCGGCCGCCGACGTCGAGAGTGTACGGTCTCGTCCAGGAGACAGCGCCCGTTCGGTCGTGCACATAGCAGGGCAGACCAGAGCCGTGAGCGATGCGATGCCAGCCCAGAGGCAGCGGCGCATTACCCGTCGCGGATACAGCACTGGTGGTGCTCGTGTGACTGTCGTTGTGATCGACAGCGCGCGTGCGGTCACTTGCGTCAGGAGTAGTACCGACAGTGTCCGCTGCATGTGCTGTGGCCGTGGCCGAGCCGAGTTGCATGAGGCCGGCGGCAGACACCAACTCGTGGGCGAGATGGTACTCGGTGTCGCCACGCAGATTCTCCATTGCGGCTCTGCTTTTCTTTTCAAGCAAACGACTGGGTGTGGTAATATACCCCCTTTTTTATTTGCATGCAGTGGTAGTTTACGATGTATTTCGTCGGTTGGAACGCCGTGCCGGCTTATTTTGGGTTCCGTCGCCATCGAGCCAAGTAGTCCGAGTTCGTTTTCGTGACGCCTACTGGGCGACTCGTTTGTAGCAGCACATGTGAGCACGTATGTACACACCTCACAACATATTCTAAAAAACAGCACTAAGTGCTGGTCCGTCCCGACGGCTCACGTATGACCGGCCGAGGATTGCTGAATCGCAACTGCTCCATCGATCCTTCGTCGCTTGCAACGAGGTCCTGCTTCGCCAGGCGTAACCGCATGAGACGCTGTTCCAAGAATCGACTGAAGTCCCGCATGCTGCGCAGAATCTCTTCGTCAGTGCGCACAGCGGGCTCACCCAACTCGTGCAGGACGTCATCGAGCGATGCAGAGTCGGTCGTCTCAATTGCCGTCGTATGACGATCCTCACTCAGTGAGCAGCCGCTCTTCGCTCGAACGAGCTCAGCCCTGTACTTGGCTATCCTCACGTTCATTGCCCGATTCTTTCGACGCAATGAGCGGTTGTCGTTCTTCAGTTGCTCCAAATACTTGATCTTCTGCTGCAGGTTGCCGCTGCTTGCCAGCTTCACGTTTTCAGCGTCTGCCCGCTCTGCCTCGGCAAGAGCATCATCGCGCTGGAGTTTCATGAGATTTCGTTCGAGCGCGTACGCTTCCACAAACGCCTTGAGCTTCCACACGGTATCCCACAGCTCGTGCAGCTTCCGCTGGCACTGCTCATGGTTTCTGAGAGCCTTCATGTCCTCCAGCATGATAAGCTGAAACGCTGACATACCTCCACATGTTGCAGTAGACGAGCAAGCTGTCTTCCGATTCTGGTCGTCATCGTCGTCGTTGTCATCGTCGACCTTGTCATGCAGATCCTGGTCGCGTGGTTCCAACGTAGTTGACCCACCGTCGCCCTTGCAACAATCATCCGGCGAGTAAGAAGGGTTCGTCCGAGCTTCAAGTCGAGCGTTTTCCTGCGTCAATCGCTGGACGGTGCTCTGCAATTGCTGGTTTTCGTCCGTCGCATCTTGTAGCCGCGTCTGCAACAGGTTTATCTGAGTTTGCAGCGTTCTCGTTGCGCTCGCCTGAGGCTCGTCCTCGTCACTTGAGATTGTGCTGCTGCCATCGTCACCACGTCTGTCGCAGTTCACGGTATCCGTTGACACGTTGTCGGCGCTTCTGCCGAACGAGCCCGAAACAAGTCGCAACGACTCGTCAACACACGTGGTCGGCTTCAGTATCTGGACATCAGCTGACCGATCCTTTGCTTGGAGTACCGCCACCGTCGACGACACACACGAGCCTCCTGCAGCGGTCTTCTTTACTTGCAGCGTAAAGCGAAACCTGCTCTGCCACGTCGCTTCCTGCATCAGCTTTTGAATGATTTTCAGCCGCCACCGCATCCCTCGCAGATGCCTCTGCATCCTACGCGACTGGCTGATCTTCTTCCCACGTTGGTCCATCATCACGTCATGTTTCGCCGACTCCTTCTTGTCACGAAGTACGTCATCGAGTGACTCGACGTCCAGTACCGGGACAGCGCCACTGGTGGTCGAGCTACTGACAGAGCCCATTGATGATGTCCACGACTTAATCTGCTTGGGACCGTCACATTTCCTGGACGTATGCAAGATACTGCTACTACTACTGCTGCTACTATATAGTTTGGCGTATCGTCGCACTGCTCTCTTTGTGCCGCATGCAGCGAGGGACGATGCACTTGCGTTGTTGTCTCGACCGTTTCGCTCATGGGTTATCGCTGCTGCTGCTGCTGCTGCGGCTCCTTTGTGGACTAATTCCGTCCGATTTACGTCGCGACAGGCATTTTAAGGCTATTCCCATCCAAACGAGGCTTCAACCGCACCGACGGTCACTCTTGTGCGGCAAACTCGGCCCTCGTGTTAATCACACTTGCTACGGTCCTACTGCTGCAGTGCATGGCTCTGTCAAGTACAAAACTCGGACGTTTGTATCCACCGTCAAGGACAAAAGTACGCAAGCGTGAGCATGCCACTTGAAAGTGACGGACGTCTCCTGTCAGTTCAACAAGCTGCCAGCTAACTCGAGAGATGCTGACCGAGCACCGGAGAGAATGCAGCTCTGTTCGTATCGAGTTGATTTCACTTGGCGCTTGCCACGGATCTCGTTTTCCTCGGGCATCCTGAGAAAGCACTCGACGGTCTCTCCAGTGTTTCTCTGTATCACTTCCGCTCGCTGCTTCCTGACGACGGGAGGGAGCGGTGCGAAACGGGACAGCAGATGGGGCGCGCCCGCCGCTCGGTCGCGTTTCTGTTTCGCAGCCCTACCCTCAAGTCGATCATTCTTGACCACCCGTTGGCGATATGGCGTCTGGACGAACATTGCGCGCGTCGCACGTAGCAACCAGAGCGCGATCATCCTGTCGTGTGTCTCTGACGTTCAGCGTCCACGCGGCGAATCGACACAGGCGCACGTAGGGACATGGGCATCGAACTAGGCTTTGCCACATTGACATAGGCGCCCGCAAGCACCTGTGTGGAAGGGGAAGCGAGGGGGCAGCGTGTAAAAAGCGGGTGCTTGAACTTGCGCCGCCACGAACCACCGGCCCGCGCCCGAATTGTTTGTTCTCCGCGCCGGGCGCTAAGTCGCTAGCATTCAGAAACTGGCCTCTCTGCACGCCCGACCCCGAGCCCTAGAAAGATCGGCGAGAACCAAGAGACAGTAGCAGCCACACTCTGGAAAACGCGCAGTCGTAACGACTACACACAACAATAACACAGAGAGAGAGAGAGAGAGAGAGAGAGACGAAAGAGCGAGCGAAAGAGTGAGAGAGAGAGGTCTTGTCTGCACGTTTGCGCACCAGTCAGTTTTCTCGCTCCCAAATTGTCGTAGCCACTTGATCGATCGCCTCTTGCTCCTCTTCCGCTTCTTCCTGTCGTCCGTCTTGTCGGCCGCCGCCTCCTCTGTCGCTGTCTACAATGATCGAGTCGGAAGTGGCCGCGATGCTCATGAGTCTCTCGGCGCCAGACGAGCGCCACTCGGCCGACAACCCGCTCTACGCCGCGACACCGCCGTTGTCGACGTCGCCGTCGTCGTGGCAAGCCGGGAAGAAGCGCGCGTTTGCGGCCTTTGACGCCGGGGCCGCCGCGTCGCTGCCGTCCTCGAGCTTCCTGCACCCGCGCGCCGAGGGCGGCAGCTCGCCCTTGTCGCTGCTGCAGCTCAAGATCCAGGGCCGACCGCTCACGTCCCTGATCCCTGGACGCCTCGACATTGACAGTATCAGCAACAGCAGCAGCAATAGCAGCAGTGCCAGTGACGTGGACATGGACGCGAGCTACGAAGCGGCCACGTGGTCATCTCCGTACCGCTCGTCGTTTGACGGGCTCGTGGCGGCCGCCGTCTCGACCCAAGACGACAACGACCGCTGCTTGTCGTCCAACAGTCGACCCATTTCGATCCCGAGCCGTAGCGGCCATCGCACCAGCCATAGCCACAACAGCCATAGCAGCAGCACCAGCAGCTTGATGCGATATCGCGACCCCTCGTCGTTGTCGTCATCGTACGGCAAGAAGCACAAGGGCAGCAGCTTGTCGCGTGTGCAAGAGGACAAGTCGTTCCTCGGTCGCGACTGCAGCCCCACGGGCGTCGAGGACGACAGCGCGTGGTACGACAGTGACTACAAGCAGCGCGTGCGCCTCGCGTCCGTGTGCTCGTCCGACGGGAGCGAGTACGGCGGTCTTGGCCGGAAGCACTTGGAAGAGTTTATCCGCATGGAGATCTCGGCGGTGCACGACAGTGAGCAGCAGCAGCAGCAACAGCAGCAGCATCGCCAAGAAGCTGTGCACGAGGGCAAGTTCGTCGGTAGCTACTCGCCCGACGCCCGGAGAAAGCGCATTGAGCGGTTCCTCGAGAAGCGCAAGCACCGCGTGTGGGCCAAGAAAGTCGACTATGACGTGCGTAAGAATTTCGCCAACTCGCGCTTGCGCGTCAAGGGCCGCTTTGTGAAGAAGGAGGACGAGGAGCTGCTGTGTCAATTGCTGAGCTACACGTGAGGACAGGACCCTTTGGTGCTGCTGTCTCCTCTGCTCTTCGTCCGCCCGTCCTCATGTAGTTGTATAGAGAAGGCGTTGGGCCGTCGGCCCTAAGTGCACACGCACACACATACATACATACATACATACATACATACAGACAGACACAATCATGTACGTAGCTGCTACGACGAGCCCTAGCTATCGATTCCCGGTCATGGGGCGGGTATAATCCCTCCCACTCTTTCTTCTGGCGTCAGTCTCACATCGCGGGAGTTCGATCACAGGCGATGGGGACTTTCGAGGGCGTGAACAGCCCACCTATCTACTCGCTGCTGCCCGGTGCAAAAGGACAGACCAATCGACCAATCGACCGGCCACTTCTCTCTACCGCCGTATCGCATGCGGTCGCCACGTAAAGACCGCGTGTGTCGCGTGGTCGAGACTCGATGCCAAGGGAACGACCGCGACTGGACGTGTCGGCGCACCATCACACGAATACAGCGAGAGACGCGCTGCGCTGCAAGGCGTAATATACCTATTGCTATGCCCTGAACCACATGGCTATCACCAGGCCACTTGTTCCCCCATGCACCCGCCGTGGCGACGGCCGAGCTTCTAGCACGTCGGACGTCAACCCTGAGGAGGGCCACCCACTTGCCGGTGCAGCGCATGACGCAACTGTCCACAGGACAAAGCGCTTGTGCAAAGTGCACTGCGCTGTCGCAACGACCACAATATTTACTTAAAGTGCTGGTCTGATAGTATCGACATGGCTACATCGACGAACGCCCGTACGCCCTGAACTCGACTCACGGCGCCAACGCGAGGACTGCTTGCAGCGTCTCAAGGCCATGTTGCTTGCGATTTTAGGGCACTTGTCACTGCGCTATGCATCCGATGGTGACGCGCTAGAAGAAAGGACAAGCGCTTGTGGTGCCCAACTGGCCGCCGTCTGGCAAGATTGTGCGATGGTGCGAAATGGGTAGAATCGTAAATTTGACCCAATTCGAATAGGCGAATGCACTCTTTCGACAGCCGTGGACGTGAGGTTAAATGCCATGGACCGTGCCAGTGTGTGCGTCCCACACGATCCTGGGGGGCAAAACGGCTGTTTCCAAAGCCATTGGCACATGGCACTGCCATGGAGAGTTATTTTACGTGCACTATCCCACGAGTTGGTCAAAGCGCTAGGCGACATCAAATCTGCTTCTTTATCCGTGGACTTCGAGAGCAAATGGTTGTAGCGCTGCTGTGGCGTACGCAACGTGAGTGCCATGTAGAAAGTAGCGCAGAATGTGCACCCGGGTATCGCCTGCACAGCTAACGGATGCCATTGCATCAGGAAGAATTGTTGGGAAATGGCTTTATGTGGCTTACATGACATTGGAAGAGTTTCGGTGATGGGCGACTGTTCGGTGCTACGGTGTAAAGGGGTGAGCCCGTTACATAAAATTGATATTTTCGTATCAATTTTGAGCATTATCTATTTAAGTAATGTTCAATTGACATAATTCATAAGGAGTAAGACTGAAGGAATTTTACCCCCGAGGGTAATATTGCTTTGATGGGTTGCTCCACCGGATGGTTGATGTTCCCGGTACATCAACCAGATCAACCACCAATCGCTGCTAGACGCGCGCAATGGGTGGTGAGCAAGAAAATCACATAGGGGATTGTAGCTCAATATAGTTAGCTCAAGACAAAAGATGGTTTATTAGGAAACATAACTATATCAAATACAGTTCTACTTTTGCCCTTAGACAGAGCTTTCGAGTTCTGCCTACTTCTCTACGCTTCTTCACGCCGCTTGTACGTGACGTCAAGTGCACACAACCTTGTGTTGAATTGACACAAGGCGTGCCCCGTAACATATAACGTCAGTGAAACGACCGCGCTGTGGTTGAAGTGAACACGGTGTAAGGAGGCATAGGAACACATACAAAAAATCAGAAGTAGCTTCACATTTGCACTCAAAGAACGAAGCTGGTTTCTTTACACAGGGGTGTTTATAAAGATCTGGTAACAATGACATCATTACGCAAACTCGTTACTCCAGCCGTCTTGCTCGTCTAGATATACCCCAGCAGCAATGAACTGTAATTTACTAATGTGGTGGAGTGGTAATCACAACTTCCTTGTGACCCCGACTCTCCACTAGCGCCCAGACGACCGACAAATGGAGGAGGTACCCCTATTCCGTCCTCTGTTTCTTCTTGCTCACCTTGTGTACCCGTCGGTGGGGCGGGTTGCGCGCTTCTTGGTGCACTTGAGCTGAAGCTGAACTTGAACGTTTTGGGGATAGGTGTTGATCGGGTGGAAATGCTTCACCCGGTCAAACGTGGGTATGGATCGAGTGGAAACTCTTCACTCGATCGCGTGTATATTTGGTCGCTCTCCCAGAGTCGCATTTGCCAGGGTTGATGCTTGATACGCGAGCCTTCTGACCACTTGAGCCGTCTCGCGATCTTGAATCTGAACCGTAAGGTTTACTGCGTCCTATCGCAGTTGAGGGGGGGGGGGTGAGAACTGATGTTCCGCCTGGCCACACAATCCAAAGACGAAGATTGTATAGACGTGGGTCACTTTCTGTTCAACGGGAGACCAAAGTTCCTGCCCGGGAGAAGTCGACGCGTGTCTTTCGTAGCAAATTCAATTCTGTTTGATGTCAATCAACCAAATCCAAACCATAGGACTAAGCCAATCTTTTCGCTAAATCTCTGTTGTGCACCGCCTGTCTATGTGACTCACTTCTTGCATCCTTTGGTCTACACAAGACACTACGTAGTGGATCGCTCCACAGTGGATCGCGGTATGTGATCCACACCAATTATGTGACCCACACCCATTATGTGATCCACACCGCCCAGCGGTATTCAAGATAGAAGGTGGATTAACCTGTGCGACTTGGACAGTCGTTTCCCTTCAATCAGTCGTTTGGTTCCCAACAGGCCCGTATCCGTACGCGCTCCACCAATCAAACTGGTTTCGCACTTTAGGTGGATCGCGCCATCCACCCTTTCGTCATTCTTCCTTCGCGCTTCTCCACACTAACCTGCACTACATAGGGTTCAGACTGCCAAGCGGGCTTTTGCTACAGTCACGCGAGAGCAGTGGATGCTCTAGAAGCCTAAAACAAGGCAGTCATTACCCGCGTGATTCTTATTGATTCTCAAAAAATTGCAATTTTGGTAGCCCTTTTTTGTCAATGTCTGGTAAGCACGTTGTGCCTTTACGAGCTAGGCAAGAGGCAAGGAAACTTCGTGCGTCCGGCTAAGGTTAATTTGCCACCGGAGGTTTATGCCGTGCACGTGTTATAAATATATAGAAGGGTCTACGTATCCGCGCAACAAACGCGGGTTCACAACATATGGCAATACGGCTTTGCCTTTTACTAAACCCTGTAGTAATATTGTTAGAAACTATCGTGTTTGATAGGTTTCAAGGTTCAAGTGCTATACCAGGGGACGGTGTCATCTGATTGGCTGATTACCGTACGACGTGACATGTGGGACCACGACGGGACGATCGACCAAATGGGACGTGTGGGACGGGGAATAGCTGGGGAGTTGGGACTTTGAGAGACGGAAGCCATGTGACATCCTGTCACAGGGGACAGGAAGAGACGGACACCATGTAAGACTTGACATGGTCAAGTTGCAGTTTCCGTTTCTGGTTATGCATATCGTAGTGTTGAAGGAGGTAGTTCTTAACACTCAATATATTTTACTTTTACTTCCTACTTCTACTGCACAAGTGCGCCTACGTTCTAACAAATACGACCCCATTCCATCATACTGGCACCCCTAGCCAATGCCGCACATCTGGTTAATGGGCTCTTTTAACACCTTTACTTTCGTGACCTGCCGTGATAAACGCCACGTGGCAGCACATCAATAAGACCTACATGAGAAGCACCCTGCGTGAGTCATGATTGTTTCACTTAGCTACAAGTTGACATCATTGGTAGCCCATAGAACGTAGGATAACTTACCGCGTACATTGTAGCTGTAAAAAGAAGTTGAATCGAAATGCTACCGATATATCTACCACACGCAAACAGGACAGCAACTTTAAGACCAACAATGACTTGACTTTGAAAGATGGGCTTTTGGTGCTAAACTTTTGGGACGTCTCTTTCTCCTCCGAGTGTACAAAATTATTGCATACGACACAATTTATATACGTTCCTATTTGCAGGTTATTATCACAACGCAATTTTCCTCGTGAGATGTGTAAATAAACAAGTTTAAACGTGATGAATAAGAATCACTACAGTCGTGCCTATTATATCCATAGTATAGAGACAAAGGAAATCGTTTTCCTTCATCCGTGTACGATAAACATACCATTTCTCACTATTGAAATCGTTAAACACGGAATTCACGAGCACCGGAAAAGTTTAGCTTCATCGCATATTAACCCGTTGCAATCGCACACGTGCAAGGAAAGCAGCTTTAGCTACTCCAAAAAAGCAGACGGTGTCCATGCGGTGGTAGTTCCAGATCATTTGAGTGGGAAGGAATGTACTTCGTGACGCCGACTATGAAATGGAAATACCAAGTGTGCGCTTCAATACAAGCGCTTACTTTATCTTTTTGCAGCCATACCCATTGTTGTCAATCTTACTCATATAATATCCGCACATCTATCGAATTACTCAAGCAGTATCCGCGCGTCTCATTATTTCTGGAGATCGGTTTAGGCGTTCAGCTTCTGTTGCGATAACCTGCCACCGTTTTCTGTAGCGTAGACCTACAATCCTTTCGATGTTTGGACAGCTTCATGTGGGCGCGTGATAGCAGGTGCGTCGTTTTTACCGTGACAGGCGACAGGAATATTCGTTTCTCGTTTTCTGTACGCCGTATCGACCCGGCTGTTGCGTATACACACGCATGCACCATGCCAACACCACAGTGGAAGATTATTTACTTTCGTAAGTGCTAACTTAGCCAGGTTATTCCTGCCGAAGGGCCCGGAAGCTCATTACCACGATTCCCGGGTCGCCCTATAAAGTAATT